AGATTACTTGAAAGGCGTGAAGAGTATGGCAGCTGCTCTATGGAAACACGAATTTATTTTCCCCATGTAACTTCTCTCTCGTGTATGTCCAGTTCCACGGCTTAAATCAGATTGTCTAATATTATTATTCACAAGTTGTACGACCCGTATAGGTTGTGACGAGTCGTACCAATCGCCTGATTCAATCCAGACGGATCGTACAATGTATTCATGAGTCTTACGACTCGTAAGGATCGTCTAATGTATTCACGAGTCCTACATCCGTAACTGTGACTTGGAGTCTCTCTGGCCATGACTTAGGCCCTGTTTACAAGCAAGGAGGGTAACCCTTGTCCTGGGGTTACCCTAGCAGGCGGGTCAAAGATAGCCCGGGTTTACAAGCAAAATTTCACAGGTAGGGTTACCCTACCACCCGGGACAACTTACCTTTGCTTGGTAACCGCACGCATTGTTATCAATGTTCAAAGAGTCTGGAAACAGGTAAAAAGTTGTCCCGGGTAGGCGAGTTATCCCCAGGAGAGCGTTTACAAGGCAGGTGGGGTTACCCTGGCGCTAGGGTTACCCTAGCGCTCAGCTAAAGTCACCCTAGTGCTAGGGTAACCCTAGCTGCCTTGTAAACACGTCGATGAAAAAAAGAAGAAATGTGGGAGCGTCAGGGTAACCCTCCCGCCAGGGTAATCCTAGCAGTAGGGTTACCCTACCTGCTTGTAAACAGGGCTTAAGTCTGTCGACTCGTGTGATTCGAATGGATACACACAAAGTGCACAAATAACAAAAAGTATTCCTCGTGGTTAAAGTACCGTGAAAAGGACACAAACAACAAGAGTATTCCTTGTTCTAAAAGCACCACGCGAAGTGCGTAAACATGAAGAACCCCGTACGACTAAAATAGCGCCACGCAAAAAGCAAAAACAACAAGCGTTTTCCTCGTTCTTTAGAAAATGCAGAAAATGCATGTATAACCAAAAAACCAGCAACAAGATTTTTGTTTGTCCTACTAAAAAAGGACCACTCGAAGTGCACAAACAGCAAGTTTATTTCTCGTTCTACTAAAAAACACTGCGAGAAGTACACAAATGGCAAGTGCATTTTCATTCACTCTAAGCTTATTTGTAGTTCTAAAAGCTTTACGTGAAGTGCACAAACAACAAGAGTGCTCCTCTTTCCAAAAGCTCTTCGTGAAGTGCAAAGACGACAAGAGTAATCTTGATTGTTGTAAAAGTGCCGTAAGAAGGACACAAATGACAAGAGTGATATTTGCTGTACTGAAAGGTAAAACGCGAAGTGCAAAACAACAAAAGTATTCCTCATTTTTGAAGCACAGCGTGAAGTGTACAAAGAACAAATGTAATACCTTTTTTCATAAAATAGTCCTGCGCGCAGTGCATAACAACAACTTATTTTTCCGTTCTGGAAAAAGCACTTCGCGAAGGAAACCAAACGTTTTCACTAGGTATGTTGCTTTCGAACCCCTTTGGGCTGGAGGGTCGCCGAGGAAAGAAATTATCCTTTTTTCACCTTCATTGGCGGTAAACATAAAGAATTTCATTATAAAAAAACGCCTATTATTTGTTATGATTTGCAACTTCTACGCACAATCATAGAGTACTGATAAATTAATTAGATGAACTGTCGATTGAAAATGCAATTTTGTGAAAGGAAAAGGACAGAAAGTTTTATTTTTATCAGATAACAACCTAAAGTATTGCGAACTCTGTTTCAATTCAGTACAAGTTTAAAAATCGAACAAAATCGAAGCAAGGTCGGAGCACCGATTGTACGCAACGTAAAAGAAGTTTGGGATCAAAGATATGGTAATGGTAGTGGTATGGTTTATTAGATATGAATTCGGCAGTAAAATGAAATACTTCATATTTACAAGAAATTACAAAAAATATTTACAAATTAAATGAGACTATATAAATAAAAATTTTGCCGGGGGACTGGGTTACCGGCTCACAAGATTCTATTAACAAATTATTACAAATGTGATATAAGT